TTTAGTGTATAAATTTATATTTTCAGACAAAATTTTAATGATATTACATAATTATCTTATTTTTTTCCAAAACATAAGCATTTTGAAATTCCTTATATTGATTTGTATATCTAAAAATTACTTCAAGGTTTAAAATACAATAATTTTATAGATTTAATACATTTTTTTGATATTTTAAATTTATTTTATAGAAAATGTAAGTGTAAATGTGAATTTAAAAATTTAAAAAACCAAAGTTATAACCCGTTGGGTCGAGCCGAACCCGATGACATTGGGTCATGAACATACAGTTCTCAACCCGAACCCGAATTGACCCGAACCCGAAATAATCTGAACTTGAAGTGACCGAACCCGAACCCGACCTGACCGACCGATTTGCCAGCTCTAGAATTACATATCATTTTTTTTAATCCCTCGCGAGACCGTACCCTGGACATGGCCACATACAGCTGTCCGTGACTAAAAACAGGTTTTTTCAAGAATAAACCAACGTGAGAGAAAGACTGTCCCTGACTTTTGTTTATGGTCATCGCATACGACGCCATAATCGGAAATTGTCTTCTTTGAAACTTAAATGGCAATCTGGTATTAAAACCCTTTGTCCTGCATTTTTTCCATGAATCATCTTTGCTTCCAAAAGACGGTTACCAAGTCTTGTAACAATTAAACATGTTCCGTTGCATAGACCATTAGGCATAATCAATGTTGCGCAAAAGCGTACTATTATTTTTATCATTAATAATATTATTACTACAACTACTACTATTATTACTATTATTTTTATCATTAATAATATTAGTGTTGATTCTTAATGTATTATTATTATTATATCTCTGTGTATAGGCTGATATTCTCAATCGTGGGTATGGTGGATATAACACTAGATGGGCTTTATTTATGCTGCATCACCTCTTTCCTCTGGTAATTATCATACAATTCAAATTCTCCAATTTAATTAATTTTTTTTATTTTTCTAGGACATTTTATGACTATATATTGATTTTTTTGAATGTGTTGATATATGTGTTAAACCTCTGTAATATGTGATATTCTGCTCCCTACATCCGGATTTAATTGTCCACTTTTCAAAATACGGCAAATTTAAGGAATATAAGGTAAAAGAATAAAAAACGCTTTGAATAAGCTTATCCTTTATTGATGACAACAATCCTGGTATGATATTTGTTGGATATTTTAGATGATTTTCACTAATATTTTTTTTTATGAAATATGAAAAGTGGAAAACTAATCACAGACGCCTTGAAAGAGGAAAGCGGACAACTGAATTCAGACTAAGGGAGTAATGAATTAGGTTGTTGAATAATCTTTTAGTACTTTGTTAATCTCAAACAATGGCTTAACAAGTAGTTTATGAGCAGTTATCCATCTTATTGTTATTTTTGTAAGAAGTTGGGCACAATTGCTTTGATTGCAAAGGCTTTGCTACTAGAGTACTAGGAGATGTAGAGAAAGAGTGATGGCTAGTGAGGCGGCCAAAAAACTCTGTGAGAAGGAAATTTAACCCACAAAAGATGATGTTCTAATTGATAAGGATGCTGAAATTGCAGTGTAGGAAGGACATACTCAAAGGGACCCTTTGGTTTTGGACCTGGTGACCCGTGACATACACGGAGTGAGGAGTTGGGTTGGGTACTAATGTATTGTAACAATGGGTACAATACACACAGTGCCAAGCCATGTGCCTTGCTTCAAATACTAGATTTCGAGCCATTTTTATATATTCGCTATACACTATTGTGAAGATGCGTGAACTTTGGAACATTGTGTTGAAATGTCATCATGCTATTACTTTGCCAAGGATTCACAATCACATGGGTGATTTTAATTGTGTTTCCGCGTAAAGGAAATGCAAGGCTCTAATGGTTCCCACTTCTTATTGTCTTCAAGACTTTGTGGGTTTTCCTTTAGTCGTCGGCTATGAAGATATTGCTTCAGCTTGAGGATTCCTTACTTGGTACAAGGGTCACTTATGGGCTAAATTTGACCGGGTGAATCTTGATTCTAAATGGAGGTCACTTGGCTCCCTTATTTTGCTATATTTTTGTCTATGGAACCGAGGTCAGATCATTGCCTGGCTGCCGTATCTCTTGATCATGTTTCAAGGAATGAGTCTAGGTCATTTAAGTTCTTCAACACATGGCTTAAACATCCTAGACTCCTTTCCTTGGTGGAGAATTTTTGGTGGCAAAGGTTTGAAGGAACGGCCGAATTTTGGATGTCATCAAAGCCCAAATTTCTAAGGCTCCCCTTTGGCAACTTAATAGAGAGTACTATGGTCATATCTCAAGGCGTGCTAGGCAAAAAATGTGGAGTTCAAGTTTGTCCAAGCAAGTTTGAGAGTGGATCCAACTCATGATTTGCTAGTGGGCAAGGTAAATGAGAAGAGAAAAAGGGTGGTTTTCCTTGATGATACAGAGTGGTTTTTACTACAAGCAACGTACAAAGTGTGATCACATCATTTGGAGCCTGAAAAATCCATGAGGTCTCTTCAATTTACTTTAAAAAATCAGTGTGAGAAATTACCTCTTATGTTTCTAAGGATGATGACTGGTCACTAGTTCTCCCGAGGAAGTTGTATGATGTTGGTGATGATAAGGGCATAAGGCAGCAGGTCTGGATGCGTATTCTACGGCTTTCTTTAAGGGTGTGTTTGGTTGGGTGGGATGGGAAGGAAGGGGAAGGAAAAATAACCCCTCCCTTTGGTTAAAAAATTTGGAGGGGAAGGAACTTAAAATTTTGACTCCAAAGCCCTCTCCTCCCTCATCTACAGGTTATTCTTCCTCTCTCTCTCCCTCTCTCTCTCTCTCTCTCTCTTTTAATTTCACGTCTGTTTAATATATCTCCTTTCCTCTTCCTCTGGCTCTTGTCTCTCTGCTATTTTTCCTCTTCTCATTTTTTTCTCTCCCTCTCTCTTTACCCTTGCTTCCAACATTCCAGATCTGACCATGTAATTCTTTTCTCTCCTTCAACCAAGGAGTGGAGGGGGACTGTGATTCACTTGATTCAGTTATCTCCTATCAAAATTAGGAGGCCAAAGATCGAATTCTAAAAAAATGAAAAAAAGTTGCTTTGTTTTTTTAAATATAAAAAACTTTGTAGATTGAGAAAAGCGAGGAAGTAGCGAGGAAGGCAAAAGATCGAATTCTAAAAAAATGAAAAAAAGTTGCTTTGTTTTTTTAAATATAAAAAACTTTGTAGATTGAGAAAAGATGTGGTGATGCTCAATGAGGAGAGAGTTTTTCCTTGTGAATATGCCAAAGAGAGAAGCGAGGAAGGCACATGGTATTTAGATAATGGTGCTAGCAATCACATGACCGGGGAACGGGGTTATTTTAGCAACCTCGATGAAAAGATAGTGGGACGTGTGAAGTTTGGAGATGGTTCAACAGTTGAAATCAAAGGCAGAGGGTCTATTCTTTTGCAATGTAAGAATGGTGACCAGAGGCTCATCACCAACGTCTACTATATTCCAGACTTATGTAATAATATACTAAGTTTGGGCCAACTTGACGAGGTGGGATGCAAAATTCTTATGGAGGACGGTTTTCTTTGGCTATATGACCGATCAGGAGCAACATTGATGAAAGTGAAGAAGTCTCCAAACCGACTATATAAGGTACATCTTCATATAGTTCCACCAACATGTTTACTTGCAAAGATGGA